ACCTTCCACACCAAGCGCGCGCTGGACAAGGTCCTCCCGCTCTTTGCCGACGGTGCCGACGACGGCGCGCCGCGCGACGAGACGACTTCCCTCACCGCCGCTCTGCGCGGCGGCTTTCTGCAGGACGCGGCCCCCTCGCGCGAGAGTCTCGCCGGCGTTGGTGGCGGGCGGCACGCCCACGGCGACGCCCCGCCCACGCCGACGGTCACGATGAACACACGGGCCGCCATGGCCAACGTCATGTCCATGTTCTCCGGCGACTTTGACGACGACACGCGCGCGCTGGGCGACGCCACCCTCTCGTCGATCCCCATCGAGGACCGCGAGAATGCGGCGCCGGCCAGGTCCCGCGGCGCCAGCGGTCGCAGCGCTGCGGCAAAGAGCGCGCAGACCCCGGGCGCCGTCGCGCCAGCGCGCAAGGGCCTGGGCCTCGCCGTGCAGCCGACCAAGAAGACCAACCGCGAGGTGCTCCAGGAGGAGCTGGCCGCCAAGGAGAACCGCCAGGCCGCCGCCAACGTGCCCCGCTTTGAGCCGGCGCACAATAAGCGCACCTATGGCGATGCCGTGCGGGAGGTCATCGCCGCCCGTAACCAGGGCGAGGAGCCCGACGAGATCACCAGCAACCTCTCCTGGGACGACACCGGCCTCCTCCCCGCCGGCGCCCTGGCCCAAGCGTACGCCTCCCTCCACGCCCGCACTTCGCTTTCGCCTTTTCGCCCAACCGACGACGCACCACCACCACCACCACCACACGCACACCACCTACGATCGTAGGCCGTCGGCCGGCGGGTTCCAGATCTACGAGGACGAGCAAGGCTCGCCTGTGCCGTTGAAGCAGCAGGGGGCTGGCGCCCTGAGGCCGCCCAAGCTGGACTTTGCCGTGTTTGACGACGGCGCGCAGGAGGGCGATGGCGCCGATACCACGAGCCTGCTCACCCTGCCCGTCCTGCAGAAGCCGCAGGCCGCCTCCTTCGCCATCTTCTCTGATTTTGACGACAACCCGCCGGCCAGCAGCACTGCTCAAGCGACCGGCGGCGGCGGCGGCGGCAAGAGGCAACCAGCAGGTACGCCTCTTCTACGCTCTCTCTCGCGCTGGTTCTGCTTTGGACACACACACACGCTCGGCATGTGTATAATCCCACTACTATGTACACCTGATCGCGATGGTGATGCATAGACGAGCGGTTGGGCCAGGTCAAGCAGAAAGCGTCCGTTGTCGATCCCTGGCTGCTCAGCGAAGAGAAGCGCCTACTCCAATTGTACGCCTCCATCGCCATCACCACTATGTTATGCGGCACACACTACGGCTGCATTGTTGGTGTTATTGTTATTGTCCTCACGCACACGCTTGTGTTGCTGCTGCTGCTGCTCGTGTCTTGTGCAGGTTGGGGGACAAGGTGACGCGCTATCCCAATTTTTTCGACTGCCGACCGGAGAAGGCGCCGGGAAGGAACATATTGAAGGGTGCTCACTCCCGCCTCCTCGCTCGTCATTTGCTGCTGCTGCTGCTGCTGCCCTCTCGCACCCGCGCTCGCGCTGGTGGTTGCAGTGAGTGGTGGTCGCTTAAGCCCGCGGTCGGTTTGTGTCGTTCGACAACAACCACAACAACCAACAGTGCCGCGAGGGCGCCGGGTCAGTTCGGTGGCCGAACCCCAGCTCGAGCTGCCGGAGGTCTGCATCGAGGTGGAGGAGCGCGTCGGTGAGGGAGCCTTCGCCACGGTCTTCAAGGTCGACATCATCGAGTGCTCGTTCATCGACCTGGAGGGCGGGGAGACCAACGCCGCCCTCAAGGTGCTCAACGAGCCCTCCCTGTGGGAGTGGTACATCCACCACCAGATCCTCGAACGCATCCCGCGCAACCTGGTACCGCCTTGGTCGCATCCCTCCGCTAGTCTGGCCCCGCCTAACGCCCATCCGTGGCGTGTTCTCTCTCTCTCTCTCTCTTGCGGCAGCACCACAATTTTGTTCGGTTCCACTCGATCCACATGTATAGCGACAAGGCCCTCACACTCATGCAGTTTAGCGATGGCACTCTGCAGGACGCCATGAACTGTTTCCACAAGGTAACGCTGTGTGTGTGTGTTGTTCAATCTTATAACAGATATTTTGGAAAAGTGTTTTCCGAGTGGGTGGTCGTCTCCTGCTAACACGTGGCCGGACTGCGCTTGCTGATCATCGAGCAGATGAACAAGCGCATGGACGAGCCGCTGATCATCTACTACACGCTGGAGATGCTCAAGATCATCGAAATCCTCCACGGTGCGGGCATCATCCACGGCGACATCAAGCCCGATAACTTCCTCATCAAGAACAACCCCGGCGTCGAACTCGACGATTGGGGCTCGGGTTCCGCGGGTACGTAGAGCGCCCAACCCTTCCATCGATGCGTTCGACGTGATGTCGTCCTTACCGCATAGCCGGCTAACGCTGCTGTTCTCCTTCTCCTCTGCATACGCATGAACAGGCTGGGACGGCAAGGGGCTCGTACTGATCGACTACGGGCGGAGCATCGACACCCGCCTCTACCCCGAGGGCACCGTCTTCAATTCGGGCAATCACGTGGAGGGTTTCAAGTGCGTGCACACGACACGACCAACTACACGACCAACGACACGACACATCACGCAGCGCCGATGGCAGTCACGCTGACTGGCTTGTCCTCTTGGTTGTGTGGCGGTGTGGCAGGTGCACGGAGATGACGGAGGGGCGTCCCTGGACCTACCAGGCCGACCTGTTCGGTATCTGCGGGGTGGTCCACTGCCTGCTGCACGGAAACTTCATCGACGTCATCCGAGACCCGAGGACGAAGGACCTGATGCCCAAAATGCCCTTCAAGCGCTACCATCAGGCCGACCTGTGGCGTCCTCTCTTCCGCGACTTCCTCAACATCACCGTACACACCCACTCCTCCTCCTCCTCCTCCTCCTCCTCGGCTGTCAACCGAATGATATGTGATGCTGACTTGGTTTGTGTGGGTATGTGTGTGTGTGTGTTGTGCCCAGGACTGCAATAACATTCCGGACGTGAGCCAGCACAGGCGCAGGTTCGAGGAGCACCTCAAGAAGAATCCGCCCAAGGCCAAGACCATCAAGACCCTCCTCGCCCGTCAGAACATCCTCATGTTCGAGCGCGACAAGAAGCAGAAGTGAGCGCGGCAGTCAGTCGGTTGGGTATGTGCATGCACGAGGGGGTGATCGTGTGGGTCAGCCCCCGCCTGGCTGCCGGCCACCGCGGAGACGGGAGAAAAAATAAAAACTTTTCATACCACGCCTCGCCTTCTTCGAGCAGGAAAAGGCGAGAAAATAAAACATAAAACAAAGAAGAGGCATCTCAACCACACCCCGCCATGGCAGACCGAAAGGCGACGAACAAGTACTACCCTCCTGACTACGACCCCAAATATGTACGTGGGCCGAATGCCGCTTGTCCCTCCTATCTCTGCCCGATGCGCTGCTCATCTCAACGTTGGGCAGGGCGGGCTCAACAAATTCGTGGGGTCGCACCCTCTGCGCGAACGTGCCAAGAAACTGGACCAAGGCATCCTCGTGATACGGTACCGCCACCTTTACCCCCAATGATGCCGTGTACGAGAGCGCGACAGGTGAACGGCGCGACTGACGCAGAGCGTTCCCCCCCCCCCTCTCTTTCTTCTGCAGGTTCGAGATGCCCTACAACGTGTGGTGCGGTGGGTGCGGCATTCACATCGCGCGCGGCAAGCGGTACAATGCGGAGAAGAAGCAGGTGGGCAAGTACTTCTCCACTCCCATCTACCAGTTCCGCATGCGATGCCACCTGTGTCCCAACTACATGGAGATCAAGACCGACCCCGAGGTACCAGCCCCACGCCCCACCGCCATACCGGCTGCTGTGTGCGCGCGTGCGGTCGTTCGTGTGCGGTGTGGAGAATGCTGAAGCTCGTGCGACTGTCCGCCACACGTGACCATCACAGCATTCGGACTACGAGATCGTGAGTGGGGCGAAGCGAAAAGAAGAGACGTGGGACGAAAAGGACAGCGAGACGATGAAGCTGAAGGACGAGGAGGAAGCCAAGAAGCTCGCCGAGGATCCCTTCTACCGCTTGGAGCACCAGACCGAGGACGTGCGCAAGGCCAAGGAGAGCGCGCCCAGCCTGCTCCGATTACAGGAGATCAAAGACGACGTGCAGGACGACTACGCCCTCAACTCGGCCCTGCGTGGCTCATTCCGGGTGCGTGCTCATCGTGTGGTGGCGATCTGTTGGTCGTCATTTTGTTGGATGGTGGTGGTGACTAAGAGCTCTTTCGCTGCTGTGTGTTTACAGAAGCGAAAGAAAGAGCTGGCGGAGGAGAAGAAGGAGCGAGAAGCCAAGAACCTGTCCATCACGCTCTTGCCCACCACGGAAACGGATCGGCTGATGGCGCAGAGCGCGTTCTCGCCTGACCGCGTGGTCAAGCGAAGAAGAACCACCATCACGCCCATCTTCGCAACGGCCACAGCCAACAAGGCCACCTCCGCGGAGGCCAAGAAGAACGAACAACTTCGCGCACTGGCCAGCAGCCTTTACGGCAGGAGAGCGTCTACCAGCCCTACCCCAACCCGCGCTGGCGCGAGCATTGTAGTCACCAAGGGGCCACTGTGAGCTTCCTTGATTTGTGAAGAATGAACAACATTCATGAGAATCAAAAAGCTGGGCTGGGCGGAGAGCAGAGATTTTAATGTGCTTTTAGTTTGAGTGGACCTTCCGTTACATTGCCACCACTTACTCCTGACCGATGACCTTCTTCTCGCTGACATAAATACCGTCCAAGAACTTACGGATATCCTTGTTCTTCACGAGAACCGACTGGTGCACGTTGGCAGCTGCAAGAGGGGGGGGATTAGAAAGATGTACATGGAGAAATGCTGTTGGGGGGGGGGTAAGTACCGGACTGAGAGACGAGCTCGAGATCGTTGCCGGTGAGGATGATCTCGTCCTTCTCAGTGGAACGGGTGACCTTGACACCCTCGAGCATGTGCACGCGACGGACGACCTTCTCGCCCAAGAAGTTGTGAATCTCCACGAACTTGCCGTCATCGGGGATGTTGCAGTTCACGGGGAAATGGGCGTAGACAAACTTCATCTTGTACTCGTAGCCCTACGCGATGAGTGGGAGAATGGGTGAGAAGTGAACCAATGGATGAAAGGGTCGATTAGGCGTACCTTAGTGACACCGACGATCATGTTCTTGATGTGGGTGCAGATGGTGCGGATGCAGGCGAGGTTCTTCCTCTTGCCGAACCAGATGGTGACCTTCAGCTTCCTCTTCTTGCCGCCGATGATCTCCATCTCGGCATCGGTGTGCTTGAACCTGCGGGTGAGCTCACCGCGGGGACCCTTGACGGTGACCACACGCGAGTTGACGCTGACGGTCACTGCATTGGATGGATGTATGGATGGCGCATGAGCAGGCATGTCCTCAATTGAGAATCTAATTGCGCTCATTCATAATCCCCTGGGTGCGAGATCGTACCGTTCTTGGGGAGGGGAAGGACCTGGGAGGCGACGATGGTCTTCATTTCTACGATGGAACAGAGGGCAGCGGGGGTCCACTACGAGGGGAGAGAGAGAAAGGAAGAAGAGAAGACGATACCGCTCGCGCTGCCAGGCTATTCCGTCACCCTTCCAACCCCCGCATATTTCCCGCCACCGAACCAGCAAACCCGGAAAATACCGCACACCACCAAAACAATAAATAAAAATGTGCCGCCCCAGAGAGGGACACTTTATTACAGAAACAGAAGAAGAGGGTGCTGGCGCGGTGCAGGATGTTCAGCAGTGGCGGGAGGCCAGAGGTCGGTCGGTCGGTAGATCGGTAGGTCAGTGTTGGTTAGGCGGCCTCCTCGGTGGCGGGGGCCTCGTCGGACTTGGCGATGGAGTTCTTGCGGCCGATGGCCTTGCCCTTGAGGCGCTGCATGCGGTCGGTGACGCGCTTGGCGCCGGCCTCTCGCCGCTTGTCGAGGTGCTTGGCCGACACCTTGGCGGCCTTCTTGCCCAGGGCGGCGCCCTCCGGCTTGATCTGCTTGCCCTTGGTCGACTTGCGCTGGCCCACGGAGATGCGCTTCTTCATCTGCGACGCCGCCAGCGCCTTCTTGGCTGCCTGCTCCTTGGCCGCCTGCGCGAGCGCGTTCTCGGCCACGGCCACCTTGAAGGCCTCCCCGAACTTGACGATCTGCGACACCGGGTCCGCCTTGGCAGGATCCTCTCCGAAGTAGGCGCACAAGTTCTCGTACCGCTTCTTCATCTGCGTCACGTCCTCGTTCAGCTTGTCCAGCTGCTCCTTGGCCTCCTCGAAGAAGTCGCTCATCACCTTCCCGAACGGATCCGTCGCCTGCACGCACACGCACACGCACACACGGCACACGACACACACGACATACATTCATCCACATGGGTGATTAGCGGTCACCACTCTCGCGAGGGAGCAAGTCACAGAACAAGGGCAGGCAAGGGGTGTGGTGCGGTGCGGTGGGAACCTTGGAGCCCTTGTGGTGCTTGATCTCCTCCTCGACCTGGGCGAGGCCTTCCCTGATGACGGTGACCTGGCGGATGGTCTCGTTCATGCGCTCCATGTGGCCATCGCGGATGTGAGGCATCTCCTCGCGCCACCCCAGCAGCTCGACCTTGACCCTCTCCAAATACTGGAGAGAGAGAGCACCCGCCGAGCAGGTAAGAGGCCACCGGGTGTGTTGTGTGCCGGGCGTGGTGTGTTGTTGAGGGGGGGGGAGGGCGTACGTACCTGGATGAGGTGGTGGAGGAGGTGGTAGGTGGAGCGGCCCTTGACCTTGATGGTGGACTTGGTGTCGACGAGCTTAATGAGCGAGTCGGTGGTGTAGCCCTGACCCTGTCCGTTGTAGCCGTAGGCCCGGTTCATGAAGTTGCCCAGCACGAGGACCACCTCCATGATGCGGCGGAGCTTGTTGCTGGTGCGGAGCTCATGCATGGCGACGTTGCACTCCTTGATGTCGATCCTGAGCTCTTCGTAGCGCGTGGCGAATTCGCCCTTGTACACGAAGCACGCCAGTCGCTCGGCCAACCGCGGGATGACCATCATCTCCAGGAAGAACTTCTCCGCCGCGCCCAGCTTGTCCTTGTCGCCCTTGTACTGCTGGATCATCTCGATCTCGTCCTTGGTGGGCGCCAGCCGCACCAGAGAGCGGGCCATGTCGAGACTGAGCACCTTCTGCAGCGTCCGGCACAGAGGGAGGCGGGTAAGTGACCACACAACACATCACCACCATCCTGATAGCGGATCACGTCGTGTGTGTCGTATGTGTCGTGTGTGTCGTGTGTGTCGTGTGTGTCGTGTGTGTCGTGTGAAAGTAGGGGGAAGGGGAGGAGCAGACCTCATCGCAGGCGAGGATGGACTTCCTGATCTCGCTGTGAGAGATGGGGAATCGGCAAAGGAGGATGCCCACGTTGTTGGCGCGCTGGATGTTGATGATCGACACCTGGCCCTTGGGGTTCTTGGCCTCCTCCTCCTGCTCTCCCACACGCGCATCCCCCACCGCCACCACCACCACGAATTCACAACGACAACGACGGCGTGAGTACACGGCTACGGTTGTACAGCCCGTGTGTTTGTTTTTGGGTTCGTCGGCTTCTTCACCCACGTGCGGCGCGCACCTTTTCCTTGCCGGTGGGGAGGAAGAAGAGGGACTCGAGGGTCTTGTTCTCGAGGACGATGCCCTTCGTGTTCTTCTCCGCCTGCACCCACATCGACTTCTTCAGCTTGCCCGGCGGAACCTGTGCTCCCACCACCACCGCCCACCACGACCACAGCAAACATGGCGCCATGCAATAAAACGCATCAGCGTCTGACCATCATATGCGCACACACACGCACGGACCAGCCTAGGCCCAATGTCGGTACCTTGATCCAGTTGAAGCGCTTGAGCTTGATGCCGTTGAAGGCCGCCTTGCCCGGCAGCGGGGGCGGGCCCATGCCCGGGGGCGGCGGAGGACCCGCGCCCGGCGGAGGAGGCGGACCTCCGAACATGGGGGGCGGGGGCGGAATGCCGCCGGCGTCCGCGCTTGGCGTGGCACTGTCATTGTGTGTGTGTGTGTGTCACCACCACCAGCCAGAACACAGCAGACACAGCACGCGCGCGTCCAAACACTTGCGTGAGAACCTCCCCGCTCAACCGGCAGCCGGCAACAGCAAAGAGCGTACCCGGCGGGAGCCTCGGGCTCGTCGTCCTCGATGTCGGGAATGGAGGGCAGCTCGAAGTCGACCACCTTGGACTTGGTCTCCTCTTCGTTCTCCTCGTCCTGCACGCGCGGGGAGGAATACGGAGATTGGTCGGCCACCAGTTTCGTAGAGTTGCAGTGGTGGCGGCGGTGGTGTGGTATATGGGGGAAGCGGGACAGTGTGTGTGTGTGTGTGTGTCGTGTCGTGGTGTGGTGTGTGTGTCGGACCTTGTCGAGTTCCATGTCGGCCTGGATCTCGCTCTCGCCGGTCTTGGGGTTGACGCGCATGCGGGGCTTGACCTTCTTGGCGGACTTGGCGGTCTCCTCGTCGGAAGAGTTGTACTCGGTGGCGCCGTCCTCGTCGACCTCCTTCTCCGAGTCGTCGTCGTCGCCGTCGCTGTCGTCGTCGTCGTTGGCGTCGCCGTCGCCGATGCCCTCCCAGATGAGCTCGACGACGTCGTCGCCCTGTGTCTCGCACTGGGGGAAGAGGATCTTGAGGGCCTCCTCGATGGTGTGGAGGAGGGCGAGCTTGTCGTCGACGACGATCTTGTCCTTGCGGTTGAGGGCCTTCTTGAAGGCCTCGAGGGAGAGGCGGGTGAGGTCCTTGGAGACGTCGTGTTCGTCGCGGAGGATGCACACGCCGTGGACGAAGAACTCGAGCACCTCCCAGATCTTGGCGCCCACCTTCTGGTGGGTGGGGATGAGGAGGAGGTGGCGGAGGAGGTTGAGGAGGTTCTTGGAGGACTTGAGGCGGTTGGCCTCCCACTTGACCTGGGCGCAGATGGAGACCGGGTCGTTGAGGTCGCCCAGGGCGGCGTAGCCCAGGTTCTCAAAGTTGGTGCCCTTCTGGCCCTCGTGCCCTCCTCGGCCGCCCATGGGCGACGGGTCGGGCAGGGCGCCGCCGAGGGGCATGGTCTGGCCCTTGAGCACGTGCCACAGGGTGCGCAGCTCGGCGAGCTCCTTCTTCTTGTCGGAGCGCTTGAGGTTCATCCACTTGGCGCGGTTCTCCGGGTTCATCGGGTTCTTGTCGGAGCTGAGGATGGAGAAGAACTCGAGGATGGCCGGGAACTTGACCTCCTGGGCGAGCTTGTAGGCCGTGTCCCCGTCCCGGTTCTTGAGCCGGTCCCAGTCGGCCTTCTTGGACACCAGCAGGGCGCACATCTCCACCTCGTCCGACCGGATGGCCAGGTGCAGCGGCGTGTCCCCGCGCTCCGTGTCCTGCACGTTGACGTCGGCCCCCTTGTAGATCAGGTAGGCCGCCGCCTCCACCTGCCCGCCCAGCGCCGCGTTGTGCAGCGGCGTCTGTCCCTTGTCGTTGGCCACCTCGACGGGCGCCTTGCGCTCCAGCAGCAGGCTCACGATGCCCGTGTGCCCGCGGTAGGCCGCGTAGTGCAGCGGCGTCGTCCCCTCCGCGTTCTTGGCGCGCGGGTTGGCCCCGCGGTCCAGCAGGAACACCGCCGTCGTCGTCGACCCGTTGAAGGCCGCCAGGTGCAGCGGCGTGAACTTCTCGTTGTCGGGGCAGTTCGGGTTGGCCGCGTTCTCCAGCAGCAGCGCCGCGCAGTCCCGGTACCCGAAGCACGCCGCCCCGTGCAGCGCCGTGCGCCCCACCCCGTCGAAGGCGTCGATCTTGGCCTTGTGGCGGATGAGGATCGCCGCGCAGTCCGTGTGCCCGTTGTACACCGCGTTGTGCAGCGGCGTGCCCTTCTCGCTGTCCACGGCGTCCACGCTGGCCCCCTTCTCCAGCAGGTACTTGACGCACCACGCGCGCCCGTTGAAGGCCGCCTTGTGCAGCGGCGTCGCGCCCTCGTTGTCCACGCTCCGCACGTTGGCCCCCTTGTCGATCAGCAGCTTGAGCACGTCGTTGTCGCCCATGTAGGCCGACTTGTGCAGCGGCGTCGCGCCCTCTTTGTCCTGCTTGTCCAGGTCCACCTTGAGCGACAACAGGTACTCCACCACCTGCCCACCATACACACACACACACACACATGCACACACACATGCACACATGCACACACACACATGCACACGGGACACACACAATGGTGAGTCGAGGCCGGCGTACATCGCTCCGTGTGCGTGTGGTGATGAGGAACAACAACCAACCAACCAACCAACACCAACAACACGTAGGGGTTCAACGTACGGAGAGCTTGTTGTTGTAGGCGGCGAGGTGGAGGGGCGTGGCGCCGCCAAAGTCGAGGGCGGAGGGCTTGGCGCCGTTGTCGACGAGGGCGGAGCAGATGTTGAGGTATCCGTTGTAGGCGGCGTGGTGCATGGCGGTCTGGCCGTCCTTGTCGCGGGCCTCGATCTTGACCTTGGTCTTGAGGAGCACCTTGAGCACCTCGAGGTTGCCGCCAAAGGCCGCGTAGTGGAGGCACGTGGAGCTGTCCTCGTCGACGTGGTTCATGTCGGCGCCGGCGTCGATCAGGATCTGCACGCAGCCCACGTGTCCGTTGTAGCACGCGTTCTGGAGGGCCATCCCGCCGTCCTTGTCCTTGTGGTTGATGTTGGCGCCCCGGGCCACCAGCAGCTTGACCACCTCGGCCTGGCCCATGAAGGCCGCGTGCAGCAGCGGCGTCACCAGGTCGGTGTCGGTGGCGTCCACCTGCGCGCCGGCCTCCATGAGCACCTTGGCCGCCTGCAGCGAGCCCCGGTAGGCTGCGTGGTGCAGGGCCGTCGCCCCCTCGGCGTCGGGCTTGTTCACGTCGTACCCGGCCTTGATGTACCGCGCCACGTCCGCCACGTTGTCCTTGGCCGCCGCGATGTGCAGCCCGCACGAACGACCCTCCGCGTCCAGCACCTGGATGTCGTCCTCCTCCTCCTCCTCGCCCTCCAACCCCGCCGCCGCCGCCGCTCCCGCACCTGCCTCGCCGTTGGTGGTGGTGTGGTCGACGGGCATGAAGGCCTGCAGGCCGGCGATCACCGAGTCCATGCCCTCGCGCGGGCCGCCCTCGCCGGTGGGCGTGAGGACGCTGCCGCTGCTGATGCCGCTCCCTCCCTTCCGGCTCTTGTCGCGTATGGTGCCGCCCCCGTGTCGACCACCCGACGACGAGGACGAGGAGCTGGGCTTGTCGCCGCTGCTGCGCTCCTTCTTCTCGCTCTCGCGCCTGCGGTCGTCTCCCCGCTTCTTGGTGTCGTCCTTGGCCATCAGCGAGCGGTTGTCCCGCTCCGAACGCGAGCGCGAGGGCTCCTCGCCCTTCTTCGTGTCCCGCTCCCTCTCCCGGTCGCGGTCGCGGTCTCGATCGCGAGGCGAGGCGGCCTCGCGCCCCGGCGTCTTGGGCGCCTTCTTGGTCGACGATGAGCGACCCTTATCGGCCATCACGCCTTTCAAATAATCAACCTGGTTCGACCTTGGCTGGCTGTACTACTCGAGTGTACTTGAAATTTACGCTGCTGTTTTTAGTAGAGTCGCTACCTCCGATGGGAAGAGAAAGATTATATGGACAGATCTCTTCTCCCTCACGGGTGGTGTTCGCCTTTCTTCTTACCTTGGCCTCCCCCTTGGCGAGTTGGGTGGGGTCCACACGCCGCCTTCCTTTTCTCGGGGGCTCCCCGAAGAGGTCTCCTTCTTCCTTAACTGCGCTAACCGGTGCCGTTCTCCCATTGGCTGGACGAAACCAGACGGAGGACCCTCACCGCCCCGAGGCGGCCGGTGGCGGTGGTGGTCACTTGCCGTGGTGGTGGTTCATCGCCCCTCTCGTGGGTGCGGGGGTCCCACAAATCGATTGCTGTCGCTTGTTTGTGACATCTCATTTTTTTTTCACTTTCTCTCCAGGTTTTCTCGGACTGTTTCTTTTTGCTGCTACGCGCGGAGAAAGAAACAGGAAAAGAAATAGGAACGGAGGTGAACCAGCTGTCCATCTCCATCTGCACTTCCCCTCTCTAACAATAGCATGGACGCACACGGCTTCGTCATGGTCAAGGCTGAGCCTCTGCCCGAGGGCACCCCCATCGTGCAGGGCTACGACTTCAACAAGGTGCCCCGCTCTCTTCACCCTGTACTGCCGCTCTTGTTGGCTGACGCCGCGATGGTACGGATGCTGGTGGCTGGTGGTGGGCAAACAGGGTCTGGACTACGAGGCTCTGATGGCCTCTCTGAAGACCACGGGCTTCCAGGCCACCTCCTTCGGCCAGGCCGTCGACGAAGTCAACCGCATGGTGCCCGTGCCCCCCGCACAGCCCACTTTGTTCGTCTTGTTGGGGGGGGGGAGAGTGGCGAGGAGGAGGAGGAGGACACACGCCGTGTGAGGCCGTGCGTGCCGTGGCAAGTGCCACAGAGCCGCCGGCTGACAGCCGCGGTGCTGCTGCCTGTGCTGCGTGGGTGGGTGCTGCGTGTGGGTGCGTGCGGTGGGTGGGTGGGGGTGCAGTTGCGGTGGTCGCTCAACGACGAGCCGGTGACGGAGAAGGACGACGAGGAGAGCCGGGACCCGGAGTACCGCAAGGGGGTCAAGTGCACGATCTTCCTGGGCTACACGTCCAACATGATCTCGTCGGGCGTGCGCGAGATCATCCGCTACCTGTGCCAGCACAAGCTCGTCGACGTCATCGTCTCCAGCGCCGGCGGCATCGAGGAGGACTTCATCAAGTGCTTCGCCCCCACCTACTGCGTGGGAGACTTCAGCCTCGATGGATGCGCCCTCCGCCTCAAGGGACAGAACCGCATCGGTGCGTGGTCAGCACCAGCACAGCGCGTACCTCTTATCTCTCCATGCGTCTTTTTCTATGATTGACATCTCTATGTCCCCCCCCTCTTATTTCTATACATCGCGCCTCTCTCTCTCTCTTCTCTCTCGCTCGCTCGCTCTCTCTTCTCGAGTGCAGGCAACCTGATCATCCCCAACGAGAACTACGTCAAGTTTGAGGAGTGGATTCTGCCAGTCCTCGACGCCATGGTGCTCGAACAGAAGGAGAAGGTGCGACACACACACACACACACGCTCGCACACACACACACTCGGGCCGTGCGTGCGCCCGCCGCCTCCCACTTCTCGGTTCTCACACAGCTGCCCTCCTCGCGACTGGTGGTGTAGCAACAACCAACAACAACCAATAACAATATTAATAATAATAATATGAATGATCATGTCGTACATAGGGTGAGATCTGGAGTCCGTCGAAGATGATCAGCCGGTTCGGCAAGGAGATCAACAACCCCGAGTCCGTTTACTACTGGTGCTGGAAGGTTCGGCTCAGCCCACACCACCACACCAGACCAGACCAGACCAGACCAGACCAGACCAGACCAGACCAGATCAGATCAGATCGGACCACCTCTAGAGGCGGCCCTCTATCCGGACCTTAGCATTAACGCGATCCCCCGGTCATGTCATCGTGTGGGGGGGCGGGGCGTGCAGAATGACATCCCCGTGTTCTGCCCGGGCCTGACCGACGGTTCGATTGGCGACATGATCTACTTCCACTCGTACCAAAACGAGGGCCTCATCGTCGACATTGCGCAGGGTGCGCTCCCCCCTCCGCTCCTCCACACCATCGGGCCGCTCGCCACTCACCCGTCGTGATGTCGTGGTCCATTCGCCTCCATTATTATTATTATTGTTGTTTTTTGTTATTTTGTTATTATTGTTATTATTGTTATTATTGTTATTATTATTATTATTGTATCCTTCCGTGGCGATCCTTCTTCGCATTGGTGGGGTTGGGGGTGGGGGCAGACATTCGCGGAATCAACAACAAGGCCGTGTACGCCAAGAAGTCGGGCATGATCATCCTCGGCGGAGGTCTCATCAAGCACCACATTTGCAACGCCAACCTCATGCGCAATGGCGCCGACTACACAGTGTTCATCAACACCGGCCAGGTAATGATGCGCTCACACGCTCTCTCGCTCTCGGCGCCTCACACTTATGGGTGGGTGTAGGAGTTCGACGGCAGTGATTCGGGCGCGCGTCCCGATGAAGCCAAGTCGTGGGGCAAGATCCGCTACGACGCCTCCCCGGTCAAGGTACAGAACGCCCCCCCCCCTCCATGGCCACGCTGTCGTCCGCAACATGTTGCGCCGCCTCCCGCGTGTCGTGTGGGCCGAGGGAGCTGAGGTCTGACTCGGTGTGGGGGGGGGCAGATGTACGCCGACGCGTCGATGGTGTTCCCGCTCCTGGTGGCCGAGACCTTCGTCAAGCATCAGCTCAAGAAGACCAAGGAGCAGCAGCAGCAGGAGGAGGGCGCCAAGGCCCAGTAAGCAGGACCGATAGTCGTCGGGACGCGAGGAAAAAGAAAGTGTGCCACGACATAAACCGCCGCCGCCGCCGCCGTCACATGAGGTGGCAAGCGGTTGCATTGCACCCCAGCCGTTGTTGCTCGGCCCAGGGAATTTACTGGGAACCTCCAAGGGGGGGGTGGCACATTGATTTCCGGGGGGGGGAGGCGGTGCGGCAATCGGATGAGATGGGCAGTGTCGGGGGCTGCCGCCTGCTGCGCGCTGTCCCGCTACAGGTTGCTGAGCCAGGAGGGGAGCATCATGAAGAGGAGCAGGAGGACTCCCAGCAGCCACTTCCAGCCGTTGCCCCCGGCGCCCTTCTCGGCGAGGATCTTGGCCGTGTGGTAGGTCAGCTTGCCGCTTCGCTCCATTTCCACCTCGAGCAGTTCGTTCAGCTCCAGCTCGTGCAGCTGGTTAGGGGGGGGGGAAGGATATGTCCACCATCAACCACGTTAGAGGGGGGGGGCACACCGGCACGTGTGTGTGTGTGAGAGAGAGAAGAGAGATGGCGGCGGAGGTCGGTACCACGTCGTTGGGGCGCACGCGGTGAGTGATGGCGCCCCACTGCTCCTGCTCGATGGTGGCGAGCAACTCTTCGAGCGTGCTGGGCAGGCCGCTCTGCTGCTGCTTGCCGCCCTTCTTCTTGCCGCCGCCGCCATCGTTGGCACCCGGGGCGAGACGGGTCCGCACCCACGGGAGCACGCGGGCCAGGATGACGCTGCCGTCGCCGAGCTGCTGCGTGAGGGCCTCCTCCAGGCGTGTCATGTCCTGCAGCTGCGCCACCCACTCCACGCCCACCTGCCCGGTGGCCTCGGCGCCCAGCCCTCGCACCACCTCCGCCACCCCACCCTCCTCCTCCTCCTCCTCGCCCTCTTCTCCTTCTTCGGACTCCTCGTCCGCAGCCGTCGTCGTCTTGGGCTTCCGCTTTCCTCGCGGTGCGGCCTTGCTGCTGCTGCGGCCGCGGCCGCCGCCGCCGGTATTGGTGCCGGGCGGGGGTACGAGCCGTATGAGGTGTGCCTGGTGGAGGAGGCCCACGACGGCCAGGCCCTCCACCTGCCGCTCCACGCGACACAGCCGCACGATGTCGGCCTGCCTGCTCCACTCGCGGCGCGTGGATGGCAAGGATGGCAACGACGACGACGAGGCCACGGCGCCGCCCTTGGAAGGCGCCTTCCTCCTCTTGTTGGCCCTTTCCTCCTCGTCGTCCTCTTCCTCGGGGGCGAGTCGCTGGCGCAGCCACTCGGTGACGGCGTCGGTGGCGGTCTCCACGTCGAGGCGGCCGTAGGCCACGTAGTCCTCCTCTGAGTCCGAGTCCTCCGAGCTAAGCTCCGCCGCCTCCGCCTCCTCATCGCTGCTGCTGCTGTTGTCGTGGTCGTGGTGGCCCACACCGCTGCCCTTCACGCGGGTGCTGTTGGCCACCACCACCACGTCGCGGTCGTCCTCGCCGCCGCCGTGCTGGTACTCCACGGGGTCGTCCTCTGCCACGAGGGGCAACCCGTGCTTCTTCTGCTGGCGCTTGCCCTTCCTGCGCTCCATCCCTCTTCTTCTTCTTCTTCTTTGCCTCCTTTTGCAGCTTCGCGTCACCAAGCAAAGCGGAAAAGGAAAGGAAATGCGGACCGGAGAAATGTTTTGCGCACCAATTTACAAAAGGAAAAAAGAATGAAGAAAAGGCACACTTTGTTGTTCAGAGGTCCATTTCGTCCTCGTCGCCGTTGTCGCTCGTGGTGGCGGATTCGTCGTCCTCCGCTGCGACCTCCTTCTCGGCGGCTTCCTCGCCCTCTCCATCTTCGTCGTCGTCGTCGTCGTCGTCGTCGTCGTATTGGTCGAGGTCGAGCTGTGAGGGCACTTCTCGCCCGGCGAGATCGCGGTGCTTGAGGTTGCCCAGGGAGAAGGCACCCAGGCTGTCGTTCTGCGCACCACCAGCCACCAGCGAACGAGCATGGACGGGCGAGGGCAGGTGAGGCGACATAAACACACACGACACACACGACACACACACGATAGGTGTGCAACAGCGCATGGGGGAGAGTTGCACGCACCTCGATGAGCATGGCCTTGACCTTGTACAGCAGCAGCTCCAGCGATCGCCGCATGGGCGGCACCAGGTTGACCAGCACCACCAGCTTCTCCACCTAGCGCGTCCTCCCCCCCAAGCCAGGCACGGATGTTGGGGGAAAAAACAACACGCCACTACGAAGCGTCCACTCACGGCGGCCAGGCGAGGGGCCGAGGTAGGAGGAGCACCTTGGAGTGTGCGCACAGGGCCTGTAGGGTGCGCGTGGCCTGCTGGAGGGACTTGAAGGTGCTCAGGATCTCCTCCTGGTGGCCCAGGAAGTGGGCCGAGAGGAAGGGCATCACTTTCATGAACCGGTCCAGGAACGTGCGCCCACGCCGCAGCAGCGCCGTCAACGCCGGAGCCGGCAGCTGGCGTGTAGCAACCCCCCACCACCACCACCACCACCACCACCACATGTGAGCGTATGACCACCAGCCACCACCAGCCACCAGCCATGACCACCAGCCACCAGCCACCACCAGCCATGACCACCAGCCACCAGCCATGACCACCAGCCACCACCAGCCACGACGACACGAGGGGTGGTTGGGGAGAAGTCACCTCGCAGCGGGAGAGCTGGCAGAGGGCCTGGAAGAGGAGGACGAGCTGGTTGCACTGGGCGAGGGCCACGCTCGGCTCCTCGCCGCTGTTGGCCAGGGGCAGGTCGGTGAGGCACGCGTCCAGGTGCGCGAGGAGGGCGCGGTAGTAGGCCGGAAACGTGTCCCCCGTCAGCGAACGGAACTTGGGCCGCCCCTGCTGCTGCTGCTGCTGCTCCTCCTCCTCCTCCGGCTGCTGCTGCTGCTGCTGCTGTTCGTCGTCTACTGCCGGCCTGCGCGTCGTTAACCATTATCACCACCGGCCACCGCCAGCCGTTGCCGTTGCCGCGCGTGAGCGTACGCGCCAGGAGGATGTGACATGTCGGCCAAGTTGCATGGGCGGCGGTGGTGGTGGTGGTGGTGGCTGGTGGTGGCTGGTGGTGGTTGGTGGTGGTTGGTGGTGCCAGG